CAGGATTTCCTCTATCCCGATTAAATAGTTCAAGGACAAAGCATAGCGGGGAATGACGTGGCTGATGAATAAGCTCGAGGTGGTTCTATTTATATACCGATCGATGAGATTTTTAAACAAGACTCTAACCGAGCCAGATTTTTAACAACAGCTGATTTTTTTTTCTCTTAGGAGAGTCATCAGTAAATTTAAATCCGTTGTTTTTTAAGATATATTAATGCATTCCTTTAACATATCCATCTCAGTTTTAGTTTTCTTAAAAAAGTAGTGATATACAACTTGAAAATCTCTACATTCAAAACAGGACCAACGTGAACCTTTAGTCTTGTCATAAAATTGTACTGTATCATGCAGGGCTTGAAATGCTAACGCCAAATTAGCAATAGCACCAAAAATTTTCAGCGTTGCCTGCTAAAAAATCTTCAAAAAATGTAGCACATCAATGAGCTATGCCAATAAATAGCAACACATTACAAAAAGATTTAGCCGAGAGATGCTACTTGAAATCGTCAGCAAAGGCAAAATAGCAGTGAGCAACTGAAGCTAAAATGAACTTAGCCTTAGCATCAAAATAACTCAGCACCAAAAAAGCAACATGACTGCTGCGGCTTAGCTCGGTTTTTAGCCAACAAAAACAAATAATTATTTGTGAATTCAGTGTTGCTTATAAAATATTTGACGTCGTATGAAATGCGATAAAAACCGCATTTTTATCCAATTTTAATTTTCATATGTAGACAATGTACAAATGTTATTGAATCCTATTAATTTATTTTAGTTTTGTGAGATATTATTCAATATATTTAGAAAAAAATATTAGTAAGTTACAATTCAAAAATAAACTTAGATTAGCTGACGAGCTCTAAAACATATGTACGTGTTTTATTAATGTGTACGTTGACAACAAGCAATCGTAAAAATATGTTTTCGGCTGCTTATTCGGCTAAAACAAAAATAGCAGCAGATGAAATTAAAGCTATTCCTTATTTCGTGTGCTGAATTTTTAGATTTATTGTCGGTTAGGGCTAAACAAAAATAGCTTGCTTATCAAAAGCGAGATAAGTATCAATGCGCTGAGCTAAATAACTGATCATGTGCTATTTTAGCCGTGGCTGTCAATATTTAATAGCAGTTGCACTGAAAGCCGAAAGCTAGTTTCAATAGGTGCTGACTTTTAAACCCTGGTATCATGTAATCAATTAATTGTAACTACCTATAAGAGTGCTATGTTACACTGTTCCTCCAAAGGTAAATTTATCTGTTGGTTCTAAGAATTATTTTCTTGATGTTCACACACATATACTTAAAAACTTATATTGAAGTTTTATTGACGATTATGTTGGTATTTGGAAAAAGAAATACGACACAAATTAAAAAACAAAACAATGAATAAAGACTGAAAGTATTTAAAGTCTTAAAGGAAAAATAAAGCGAGAAAATAAGAAACAGATTTGAATTTAGTCATATCGTGCTTTTAAAACTGTTGCCCACCAAAAAGCTAGTTAACAGACATGTACTGGTCTTAACAGTGGTTCGCTTTTAACATAGCATATTAATCCTAGTACAGCAAAACATACGATCAGCAGGAAATAAAGAGGAGCGAAAGCAAATTCTTTTCTTACTTGGCATAAGCTGTTACTATTTTTCCAAATATTCCGCTTGTAATTTTCTTCTCCAATTACCAATATTTAAGAGAACATTTAGGAGAAATTAATATATACCCTCCTTCTTATTCTACTATTTATTTCAATTGTTTTAAAAATTAATGTTCTATAATATTAACGATGCTAATTATGAACGTATATCTCAACATAATTTACACGTTTGATAGAAGAATTGCCTGGCTAGGTAGACTACAATAACTATATTTCCCTGTATAAACCCTATCTTCCCTTTCTCGCTTCTATATCTTACCTAGAGTAATCTGCTAACTATACTTCTATCTATAAACCATATCTTCTCTTTCTCGCTTCTATATTTTCCCTATAACCAACATCTTCATATCCGAGTGAAGCAGCAGCCGACCCACGTGTAGTTGCGTAGCTTTACCAACCTAAAGGATCATTAAACTCTTTGGATCATCGCTTGATAAAGCCTAGTAAAGATTTTGCTTCATTAATGCAAGAATCACCGAAAGATTTAACATTATCAATTTTGTTTAAAGCCATTAAAGTAGTAAGATAGTAATAGTTAGATTCGAAAGGCCGACATTTTTTGTATTTTTAAGACGAAGGGACATACCACTTAGGCTACATTAGTTTACGAGGGATTGTAAATCGCATATTAAATCGTTAAGTGATTTTGTAGGAAGCTTGAGCTTCACACCATGAACGTTCATCTGAACTTTGGAAAAAGCAATTACGTATGAAGACCATTCAGGTTAAGAACAAATATTAATGGACTCAAGTTACACCAGATGAAAAATGGTGTTCTTTAAAGAGATATAGTTAAAAAGAGCTTTTTGTGTGCAATCCTGTATGTAGGAGGATATCCAATTAAATTAGTGTCCGTAGATCCATTAAATCTAGATGAGTAGCAATAGCTTGAGTAAATAAATAACGTCAGTTTGTTGACTATATACAACGTCATTCTGAAAATGACAAAGAAATTGTAACAGTTTTTAGGTAATGTGTTATATATTAGGGCAATGTGATATCCTGCGCGATATTATGAAGAATTTGGGAATGCCGCTTAATTTAGCTATAACTATGGAGAAAACATCTCGATCACCAGTAGAATTGAAAATATGTAGTGTCCCGAAAGATATGGTGTATGTTTTGCTATGCTGATTTTCTGTCCACCGTAGAGTTCATGAGGAGGAAAGACTGCGGGAGCCTTTGATTTCTTTGCTAGCAGTCAGTCGGGCGGGGAGGATCGGTCCTATTCCACACAAATCTGTATCCAATACGAGTAAATATTATAGACTCCCTATATAGTTTAAAAAATATAGTATCTATTGATTCTAAATAGACCATAATGACTAACACAAAAAAATGCCCCAATGCTAATCATTTAGAAGCGTAAAAAAAGAACTAATCAAACACGTTTATACACAAGTCTTTTTTCCAATTTAATTCCCACAAGATTATGCGTGGGGAAGCGCATCAATACCCTCACCTGTCAATGTCCTATAAGGGTAAAAACAATTTTTATTAGGACCCCTATCGTGCCTAAGTAGTTTCTTCTTCACATCATTAGGCTAGAAAACATAAAAACGTTTCTTTACAATTTCATTTCCTCAAAATTCTATTTACTCAACTCATAATTTATATAGGTTACTAGCTGGCCCGGTCCGCGTTGCAGGCCCGTAATTTTAGTCTTTAATGCATATTTTTAAAAGTATAAGTATTTTCACCACAGGTTTTAATTAGAGAGTTTAAAAACAAAATAATAGATCACATGTATTAAAAGGTATACATTAACTGTTTTTTAATAGCCCATCTACCCCAAAATTAGCCTAAACACATATTTTAAGCCAAATCGATTCGAAAATATAATCAAAAAATTTCCGCGAAGAGGTCTTCTACCCCCTTACAAGCTAAGATGTCAAATAAGGGTAAAATCAATTGAAAAATGGGACCAAGACGCTGGAAATAGCCGAAATCAGCGGATACCTTCATATAAGGGTTATACCAAATTGTGTTGTTCTTCCTAAAATCTCAAATTACCAACATTTGAGGAAATTGAAAGGGGCTACATCATTTGAGGGACTACAACAATTTAGACCGACCTGATACATATTTTGTACAACTGATTCTTCATGAAACCCCTAGAACTGTATCAAATTTAAAAATCTATCGTAACTTTTGCGAAGTACAGAGCAAAATATTTGAGGCCCTTTGTGTTTGGTTAAGCTATATAAAATGGACCCTAAAAACTTTTGACCCGAAACCCCTTTTTGGGATTTTTTCTATCAACCAAACAATTTTCAAAGTATAATTACTGACGATAGCGCATAGTCACCGTATAAAGTTACATGTGAGTTAAGGTTACTCTTAAGGTTTCGGAAGAATTTTCCGAGGATATGAATCCTATTCTTTCTAAATTTTCAATTTGCTCCACTATTTTGTATAGTCCGCATATAACAGTGCTCTTCATATTCGGTGTTTCACTGATTGCAGTCCCAATGAATTTTGCGTTGGATAGATAGATTATTCCATATCTAGTAAATTTCTTGCAGTTTTGGACTTCAAAATCGAAGTAATTCCTAAATTTAAAATGTTGAAATCTTTGTTGATTAAATTATGTCCGTGAGCCTCTTCATTCACCATTTGCAATCACGATAGAGGTCACCAAATTTAATATTCGCCTTTCAGACTTAGCACATATTATTCTTAGGATTATTAATGTTACGAAAGGAATATATTTGTGCTCATTAAAATATATCCCTCAAATAATATTATCTCCCAATAATCGTCGACCAAATGTGCTATAAATTTTAGGTATTTTGAAGGGCACATAATCATTTTTCAGGTTATAAATCATTTGTCAGAAAATTACAAGAAAAATCAACTTTATGATTTATTTTGTATTCCCCAATACCTCTTTATATTCGTTATATCATCGTATTTAATTAAATTATCAATTCTCAATTATCAGTATTATAAAGGTCTTACAATATTTTCCAAATCAAAAGTAATTTTAGAATTCGTAACTTTTAGAAGATCATGTTATAAGGTATTTAGTTTTTACCAGTCGATTAAACTGGTAAAAACTATATATATATATATATATATATATATACATATATATATCGAAATAGTGGGCGTGGTCAATATATATAAAAATAAATTGTTGTTCGTTGGCAATGGAATCAGTTGAGAACGACTGAACCAAATTGAATTTTTTTTGTACAAACGTTCGTCATACACCGAGTCTGGTTTTTAAAGAAAAGAATATTGACCACGCCCACTATTTCGATTTATCTAAAATCCTTATATTTGCCAAAATAATGCAGATATCGGTTTGAGGAACTGACCACGCCGACCAACGAACAACAATTGATTTTTATATATATAGATGCATAAGTTTTGAAGTTTTACAGCAAGTCAAAATTTATTTTTTAGTCATTTTATTTTTTCTGTCATTTCATTACTAACATAAGGTATAAATTCCGCCCACTATTTCCATTTATGTAAATCCTTATATTTGCCAAAATAATAAAGATATCGGTTTGAAAATTATTAAACGAGATACTATTGACTTTCCCTCCAACTACAAGTTTGTATTTGGGGGCTGAGGAACTGACCACGCCTACTTTTTAATCTAAATGTATAAACCAATTGTGGTTCGTTGGTAATTGAATCTGTTGAGAACGGTTGGAACGATTTGGATATTTTTTATATTAATGTTCGTCCTACCCCGAGCTAGATTTTTATGAATGTGTCCCCAAGTAATGCAAAGGTAGCCAATTGACACCTTTTGGTCCCCAAGTAATGCAAAGAAGCGACAGTTGTGCATAAATAAAAACCACCACGAAAAAACCAAACGAACATTTGAATGAGATCTCTACGAACAAGAACCACTTTGAATAGTTAGTTAGAAATGACAAATAAAAAGTTAAGAATGAGTAGTAAAAGTAATAAACGTAATAAAATAATAATAAAAGTAATTCAAGGTAAAATTATAGCATTCTTCTCAGAATTGTTACAAATTATTAATTTGTTTGTTTTCACTATAGGTCAAATCAAAATTTTAGCTGATGCTTTAGCTGAGTTGAAGGTGATGGTGCTACGATCTCAAAGTGATGAGATACCATTATCGAATAGGTTCCCCATCACTTATAAAAAATATTGAGAATCAAAACATATATGTAAGTATTTTTTAAATGTATTGCTGAACAAACATAGATTATATACAATTTTTGTTAATTTTTAGGTAAAGATTATAGCATCAATTATAAAAGGAGAGGAAATATCGAAATGTTTAAAAATGTTATCGGTTCAAATATTACTACGAGTATAATATTGAGGGAAACCATGGAAAAAAGTTTGAAGTCCCTAAGTAATATATACAGCGTTATTTTAGGTAAGGTGTATATAAACATTATTTTTATATTCTACATTTTCATACATTAAACATTATTTTTTGCAGATTCAATACCAGCTACAGAATATTCGGACACCCCTGAAACACAACTGCGAAAAGGAAAACAAGTGCTTTTAAAAATATTAAATTTAATTTATTTTTGTTCAAGTTTTATAGAGTGAGGTATATTTGTATTCATTTGTTTGCAATAAAAAAATGACTTAAAACTAAAAATTAGAATTTCACTAACAATAATTGGTACTGAACTAGTTCATGGGAAACCAGTTTAAAATTGGTCTGCTTATACTAGATAAGGGATAGTCAAATGACACTAGTACATAACTGTATACATAGAACTAGTTAAAAGGTAGTCTGCTGACACTAGTCTGTGGCTGTGTACTTGGAACTTGGTAAGGGTTAGTCTTTTGTCACTGGTATATGACTGTAAACCTGGAAATAGTAAAGTACCATCTACAGGTAATGCAAAGGGAGCCAATTCGTTACCTCGTATGACATCCCCATGTTAAAGATTACAGTTGTTTGCTCTGTGAGGGGTCTTAAGTGGAACTAGTTACTTCAACTCTGAGAATCGACGAGTTTCCGATGCCGAACTAGTTCATGTTGCTAGCGGGTAGTAACACATAAGTTGAGAACGGCTGGGTCGATTTGACTCAAATTATACGAATTCAAAATTACTTTTGATTTGGAAAATATATCTACTGGGGAACAGAAAATAAATCATAAAGTGGACTTTTGCTGTAATTTTTTGATAAATGATTTATTCATTTCAAAATACCTCAAATGGGCCAAATTAGAGCACATTTAGTAGGCAGTTATTAGGAGACAATATTATATGAGGGCTATATCTACCTTTTGCAAGATCAATGATCCTTAAAATAAAATTAAAGCCTGTGCAGAGTTTGAAAGACGAATATTATATTTGGTAAACTCTATCGTAATTGCAATTAGAGAACGAAGAGGCCCACGGACATAATTTTATCGACAAAGATTTCTATTTTTAACGAACTTTATGGGGTACCTAACTTTAATAAACCGATGAAACTTTATTTATGATAGTTAAATTAAAGTCACGTTGCCAAGAATTCAATTTAGAAATTACTATCGATTCTGAGGTCCAAACTTGGTAAGGGTTAGTCTTTTGTCACTGGTATATGACTGTAAACCTGGAAATAGTAAAGTACCATCTACAGGTAATGCAAAGGGAGCCAATTCGTTACCTCGTATGACATCCCCATGTTAAAGTTTACAGTTGTTTGCACTGTGAGGGGTCTTAAGTGGAACTAGTTACTTCAACTCTGAGAATCGACGAGTTTCCGATGCCGAACTAGTTCATGTTGCTAGCGGGTAGTAACACATAAGTTGAGAACGGCTGGGTCGATTTGACTCAAATTATACGAATTCAAAATTACTTTTGATTTGGAAAATATTGCTACTGGGGAACAGAAAATAAATCATAAAGTGGACTTTTGCTGTAATTTTTTGATAAATGATTTATTCATTTCAAAATACCTCAAATGGGCCAAATTAGAGCACATTTAGTAGGCAGTTATTAGGAGACAATATTATATGAGGGCTATATCTACCTTTTGCAAGATCAATGATCCTTAAAATAAAATTAAAGCCTGTGCAGAGTTTGAAAGACGAATATTATATTTGGTAAACTCTATCGTAATTGCAATTAGAGAACGAAGAGGCCCACGGACATAATTTTATCGACAAAGATTTCTATTTTTAACGAACTTTATGGGGTACCTAACTTTAATAAACCGATGAAACTTTATTTATGATAGTTAAATTAAAGTCACGTTGCCAAGAATTCAATTTAGAAATTACTATCGATTCTGAGGTCCAAAACTCCAAAAAATTGACTACATATGGAAATAATCCATCCAATGAGAACTCAAAATAAAAAATTCATTGCTCTATAAATATTTTGCTCTATACTACGCAACAGCTACGATACAGTTTTAAATTTGATGCAGTCCTAGGGGTTATATGAAGAATCATATGTACAAAATATGTGTCAGGTCGATCTACATTGCGATATAGCCCCTTTCAAATTCCTCAAATGTTGGTATTTTGAGATTTTAGAACTAGACATTATAGAATTATAACTATAGGAACATGCTTTGGTATAACCCTAATGTGAAGGTATCCCCTGAATTCTGGTATTGCCAGTTTCTTGGCCACATTTTTCAAATGATTGTGCTCTTATTTGGCATCTTAGCTTCTAAGGGGTAGAAGATCTATTCTCGGAAACTTTTCAATGTCAATGTTTCGGCGTAGCGCCCATATAAAATTACCTCCTGATGTGTTGGGGGTAGAGAACCATCTTATATGTGGCTATTTTTGATGTATACATTTTAATATATGTGCCATTATATTTAGGTTTTTGGTAGTGAATCTGTATTGATATTTTTGCGATGCGTATTTATTTCTATTTAGTCGAGTCATCATTTATACTAAAAATTGTACCACTTATGTGAGCCAGATCTGTGAATTTTTATGCTTTAAGAACTATGCATTAAACTTCAAAGAAACTAAAAGAATTCAACTCTGTAGTCGTTTAGTGTCAAATAGACTTAAACAGTTGGTTTTGTTTATTTTTCATTTTTTACCAAATTCTTATATTTGTGAAAACCCGCGAAACTAGAATGGAATTTTTGGGTCATTCCACAAGATTGAAACCAAAATAGTCGAACAATACAATTTTTATCCCAAAATTGTACAATGTGTTGTCCATTAACGTCGAAAATATGCATTTATTTTGCAATCGAATTTCCAATAAAACTCCGAAATGTTATCTTCTTACTTACCCTAGTAGAAGTTTTAGATGCATTTAAATAACAGGCAAATGCATCTTTTGGTTGATTACAACTCTCATATAAAATACCAAGATTTGTCCAAGCCGCTTTGTGGCTCTTATCTAATTGAACAGCACATATGTACGCCTGTAGAGCATCTGTGGGTTGATTTTGTTGCTGGTATAATACCCTAAAATTAAAGTGAAATAAGTTGCATAAATTGTTTATATTTGCTAATTTATTGAAGATTAAATAAAATATAAGATATATTCACAAATAAAGTTAGAAGAACACTCGAAGTATGGTGAATCTTTAAAATACAACTCTACATAAAATACGAAGAGGACGTTGCTGTCTCTTATTCTCTTCATGAGTAAAACATCAACAAAAAAAACATATACCAATAATTTTCTACAATTGTTTTTATGAAATAGTTTTGGAGTTTATTTTGATTACATATTTGATTAAAAAATATTAAATTTATTAAAATCCAACACAGGAAAGTTGTTTCAAAATTCTCTTAAGAATAATTCTTTCATTGTTTCGCCTATTTTGCAATTTAGTTAAACTTTTTAAACAGAAATGTTGTCTTAGCTAAATGAAAATTACACACACATTGATTTAACAAAAAGTAAGAGAAATTGGCCACTTGGGAACGATAAAAACTTAGCCTATAAGAGAGAATTTATACATTATGTTAGTAATGAAATGACAGGCAAAATAAAATTACTAAAAAAATAAATTTTGACTTGTTGTAAAACTTCAAAACCTATGCATCTATATATATAAAAATCAATTGTTGTTCGTTGGTAATGGAATCAGCTGAGAACGGCTGGACCGATTTGCATAATTTTTTGTAAAAACGTTCGTCATACCCCAAGTTAGGTTTTTAAAGAAAAAAATATTGATCATGCCTTCTTTTACGCACACTATTTAGATTTATCTAAAATCCTCATATTTTTGCCAAATAATGAAAATATCGGTTTAAAAAACCAGCCCTAAGTATTTATTTGGGCGCTGAGGAACTGACCACGCCTACTTTTATATATATATATATATATATATATATATATATATATATATATATATATATATATATATATATATATATAAATTGTTGTTCGTTGATTATTGAATCAATTGAGAACGCTTGGAACGGTTTGGATAAAAATTTTTGTTTTACCCCGATTTAGGTTTCTATGCAAAGAAAAAGTGACCACGTCCAATTTTACGCCTATTTGATCGATTTGCCTAAAATCCTCATATTGCAAAAATCATGAAGATATCTGTTCCACAGTTAGTATACGACGTAATCTTGATCCTCCCTCCAACCCTAGGTATCTGTTTGGGGTCAGAGCAACTGGACACACCTACTTCTTTAAATCAATATGTAAAGATTTAAAAAAAAGTGTAGCAGTTGAGAACGGCTTTGTTTATTTGTAATTAAGGTGGAAACGTTTTCATGAAAGAAAATTTTGATACAAACCTCCATAAAATCGCGGAACTGAAAAATTTGACTTTTCTATTTTGATATGGATTTTTCTGTAGAATTGTTTCAAAGTGCATTTTGGAATTGAAAGTGCTTAAAATTCTTAAACATTTATTGCCGGTATTGATTTCACAATACCGAAAACTTTAAATGTCAAGTAACAGATAATTCGGTAGAAATTGTAACAAAAACATGCAAAAGGACGAATAGTGGTATAATTATACATTAACGAAACGGACATATTCTAACTTCCTAGGAATAATGTATAAAAGATCAGAGATTAACCTAAATATTTCACACACGAACGGCCGCACACACATCTCGGCCAATTTAGAGCACATTTGGTCGACAAATATTAAGATATTATATTATATGAGGGCTATATCTAAATGGGGACAAATATATACCTTTTACAACATCAATCATCCTAAGAATAATATAACAACCTTTGAAAGACACATATTAAATTTAGTTACCTCTATCGTAATTGCAAATGGTGAACGATGAGGCCCACGGACAACTTTTTTAGATCATGTTATAAGGTATTTATTTTTTACCAGTCGATTAAACTATATCTGTCTGTGTATGCGGCCGTTCGTTGAAATCGCAATAAAGGCGAAATATTTAGATTAATCTTTGAACTACAATATTCCTAGGAAGTTAGAATATATCAGTTTCGTTTAGGTATAATAATACCACAAAACATTTGTCCTTTTGCATGTTCTTGTACAATTTCTACCGAATTATCTGTAACTTGACATTTAAAGTTTTCGGTATTGTGAAATCAATACCGGAAATAACTGGCTACTTTTGGGTCCCCATTAGACATAGCTTCAATTTAAAAGTACGTTGAGCTTTTTGAAAAGTATTTTTTACTCAAAATTCGAAAGCATAATCAAAACCCTCGAAAAAGGTAAAATGAGGAGGAACTTTTATATGAGCCCTACTTCGAAACATTGACATTGAAAATTTTCCGCGAATAGGACTTCTGTCAGAAGCCAGATTACGTATATTAACTGTGGAGCATATATCTTCATGATTTTGGCAAATATAAGGATTTTAGATAAATCGAAAAAATGGGCGCAAAATTGGGCGTGCCCACTTTTTCTTAGCATAAAAACTAAATAGGGACAGGACGAACACTTTAAAAAATATCCAAATAGTTTCAGCCGGTCTAATCGATCCAATTATTAACGAACAACAATTGTTTTATATATAAATTAAAAAGTAGGCGTGATCAGTTCCTCAGCCCCCAAATAAATACTTAGGATTGGAGGGAAAGTCTACAGTATGTCGTGTAATAATTTTTAAACCGATATCTTCATTGGCAAATATAAGGATTTTTGATAAATCGAAATAGTGGGCGTAAAATTATGCGTGGTCAATATTTTGTTCTTTAAAAATCTAACTCGGGGTATGACGAACGTTTGTACAAAAAATTATGCAAATCGGTTCAACCGTTCTCAACTGATTCCATTATCAACGAACAACAAAGCATAATAATTCACAGATCTGGTTCACATAAGTGGCACAATTTTTTGTATAAATGATGGCCCGTATAGTAGAAATAAATACGCATTGCCAAAATACACGCAAAGTTCATGTAACGGGCGATTTATTGTGTTTTAAAAAATCCTGATCCTATTTTTCAGCCAGAGGTTTTAATTTGAGAGTAAAAAACCTAAATATATATATATATATATATATATATATATATATATATATATATATATATGTATATATATATATGTATATATATATATATATGTATATATATAAAATATATATATATATATATATATATATATATATATATATATATATATATATATATATTAAAAAAAGCATACATCAACTGTTTAAAATAGCCCCATGTAAGATAGTAAGCCAAATAGATTCAAAAATATAATCAAAACCCTCGAAATTGGAAAAATCAGAGGTACTTTTATATGGGCGCTTCTCCGAAACATTGACATTGAAAAATTTCCGCGAACAGGTCTTTTATCCCCGTAGAAGCTAAGATGCCAAATAAGGGTAAAATCAATTGAAAAATGTGACTTAGACCCTGGAAATAGGTAAAATCAGCGGACACCTTCATATAAGGGATATACCAAAGCGTGGTGCAATACTTATTATTATTTGAAAGAATGTGTTGTTCTTCCTAAAATCTTAAATTAACAACATTTGAGGAATTTGAAAGGGGCTATATCATTTGAGGAGGGCTATATCACAATGTAGACCGACCTGTTACATATTTTGTACAAATGATACTTCATGTAACCTCTAGGACTGTACCAAATTTATAACTCTATCGTAATTTTTGTATTTTGAGTATAGAGCAAAATATTTGAGGTCCCTTGTGTAAGGTTAAGCTATATAAAATGAACCCTATAAACGTTTGACCCGAAAATCCCCTATTTGGATTTTTATCTAACAACCGGACAATTTCCCAAGTGTAGTTTCCCGCAGTGTAATTACTGACGATAGCGCATTGTTCCCGTATAACGTTGCATGTTAGTTAAGGGTACTTTTAAGGGTTCGGAAGAATTTTCCGAGAATATGAATCGTTACGCAATTTTCAATTCGCTAAACTATGATGAACCGGGGTATGACGAACCTTTGTACAAAAATTTATACAAATCGGTCCAGCCGTTCTTAACTGATTCCATTTTTAAAGCCTAGTAGAACACAGATCTGAATTATGTAACACCATAGTAGTTTCTAAATAGAAATAAATATTCATGGCAAAAGTTATAATACATAATCACCCATCGTCGGTTTTAAATATTTTGGCTGATCTTATTTTTCAACCATAGGCTTTAATTGTGTGTTAAAAACTTATATGATATAGAACATTTATAATAGCCCCATGTGCAAAACAAGCTCAATTTTTGGTATTGTAAAGAACTGTAATTTGGGATTTGTATTTACAACGTTTAGAATACCGTGCTGTGTGGTATGTAGTTTTGTCCACCTCATAAATAGGGGCAGAATGATTTCAGAAGATAATTACTCTTCTATACCCATTACCGTAAGAATGGAATTTATTTATTTTTGTCATTTAAATTGTGTGGTGGAGATCCCATAAAGTTCATATTTTTCATCATAGTATAATTCAATGACGATCAAAGAAATTAATATTCGTAATTTTGTTCATTTTTCTGCCACAATTTCCAACTGAAAGCGTTTGACATTTCGGAGTTTGTCATATAGACGTACATCCCAAATCTACGTTTCTTGGGGTTACAAATTCAATATAATACAAAATTTTCTTTTCTAACAACACATTGTTTGGAACTATACTCAAATAAATGCTTATAAAGACAATTACCTGTAAGATGATTCTCTACCCCAGAGTAGCCTAAATACATTTTTTTTAGCCAAATCAATTGATGAATGTGGTCAAGACCAATATGGACCCTACTGGATGGTTTCTTCTCAAATTACCAACCTTTGCTGAAATGAGTATGCAAAATATGGTTAAAATGTAAACTATACTCGAAATCCATTAACCGAGGGTCATATATCATGACCTGCAAAAGCGATTTAAGATATCTTGAAAGTTTAGGAAGAATTTCTGGAAGGATATAAATCTTTTTATACTAAATGTTCAATTCGCTCTACCATTTTGCACCCTTTATATTCGGTATGTCACTGATTGCGGTCCCAATAAATTGCATTTTTTGAGTTCTCATTGGACT